AATTTCTCGAGTTTTTAAATTAGATAATTATAAATATCTAATTTCTTATATATAGATATATATAGCTACTAAAAGAGCTATAATACTAGTTTTTTTATTTGAATTTCTTTTAGATATTATTTAAATAGCTTAAAGAAATAATTCTTAATATTAAAATATTTTAAAATAAAGATTTAATAAAAGAAATACTAAAGAAAAAGAAATTTAGAAAAATAATTCGAGTCTATTTAGGTATTATTTAAAAATTATTATATTTAATAATTCTGCCTTATATTAAAAAGTTATAAAGCTTTATTATAATAATCTAATAGCTAGATATTATAAAATAAAGAAAACTTTTAAGCTTTTTAGAAAATTCTAGTATTAAAAAAATATAAAAGAAAATATTTATAAATATTATTAAAAATATAATATTTACTAGAAAATTAAGGCTAAGAGGCATTTACTATATAGTTTACTTAGTAGTTTATTATAGTCTAAAAGATCCTAAAATAAGATTTTTATAGATTTTATTATAGGTTTATTATTATATAAGAATCTAGTAAAAGATTCCGATTTTAATATAATTTTTATAATTATTAGCTAATATTCTAAAATAATAAAATATATTATATATTATAAAACTATTAATTTTCCGGAATTTACTAAAATTATATAAAAATATATATTTTTAATTTTTAGTTCTTTTAATAAAATTATTTCTAATTAAGAAATAATATTTATTAGCTAGTTCTAGTTTATTTTTTATTTCTATTTAATATATAAATAGTATTTAAATATAGCTTATTATTCTTAAATAAATAATTAAATAAATAAATAAATAAATAAATAAAACTAGGTCCTAAAATATTATCTGAAATATTATTATAATATCTAAAAAAAATAACTAGTTTAAAAAGTTATTTTTTACGGAATTTATATATAATAATTTAAAATATTAGGTTTTATAAAATATATTTTTCTATATATATTATAGATATTATTTTTAATTTCTATAAAATTCTAAAAATAAAATTATAAAAGAAATACTAGCTATATATAAAAGGCTAAAAACTCTTAAAATAAAATAGAAAAAGCTTAAGAATTTATAATATTATATATAAAATAACCGGAAAATCTATTATAATAAATACTAATTAGCTAAATATTATTTTAAAAAAGCCTAGATAATATTATTAATAAAGAATATTAAATTTAAAATAAGAAAGCTTAAGCTAAAATTTATAAATTTATTTAGAATTCTTAAATATATTAGTAATTTAATATATAAATTAGAACTATTAAATATATATAATTATTTATATTTAACTTTTTATATTTCTTTTTTAAAAAAGTATATAATAAAAAAGAATTAGAAATTATATTTATATTTCTTTAGAAAACTTCCGGAATTAATAAATAATAATAAAAAATAAGAATAAAAAATAGAAACTATTATTAATTATTAATAAAATAATAGAAGTAAGAAGTAATAATATTTAATTAAATAAAAAGCCTAGTCTAAAAATTATAATATTTAGTTATTTGCTTTTTCTAATCTTAAAAATTTTAAGGAACTTCTAAAATTATATAACTAAAACTATAGTTTGAAATCTGAAATTACTTTTTAATAATTTTTTAAGATTAAAAAAAATTCTAAATTACTAAGAAAAAAACTATTTAAAAGAAAAAGAAAAATTTAAATAGCTAAAAAAAAAACCCGAAATAATAATAGAAATATTTTTTCTCTAGGTTTTTTTACTTATAAAGGTTTTCTAGGTTTTTATTAAAGCTTATAAGAATTATATTTAAATTATTAGAAAAAGGTTTAGAATTAAGAAAGATTTATTATAAGTAAACTAGTTATAAATATTTTAAATAAATAATTTCTAATTTCTAATTCCTAAAATAAGAATACTAAATACTAGCTTTATTTAGGATTTAGTAAAGAATTAGCTAATACTTTCTAAAATCCGCTTATTTTTTAATAGAATATAATTATATTATAATAATATTAATATTAAGAATATTAAAAGAAATAAATAAGGAACTTATAATAATTATATATATTTTATAAAAAACTCGAATTTCTAAAATTAAGTCCTAAATAATTATAAATATTATATTATTAGTATTTAAAATACTAATAATAAATTATTTAGAAATTTTAGTAATAATCTTAATAATAAGATTAATATTTTAAAAATAAACTTTATAGTATTTTTTAAAGAAATTAGTAAATATCTAAATATATTAGAAAAAACTTATTTTTAGAATACTAATTTAAATAATATTATTATTTGCCTTATTAAAATAGAAAAAAGAATTCTAAAGCTTATTAGTTTCTTTTTAGTTTTTAAAAACCTAATTAATAGTATTATTTTTATTAATATAATATTATTTAGGATATATTTTAAGAAATTTCTTAAAAGTTATAATAGTATTTTTCTAGAACTAGTAAACTTCTAATAAGTAATAAGGAATCTAAAATTATATTAGCTTTAATAAATATTAAAGCTAAAGAACTTACTAATATATAAGATTTAGAACTTTTATTATAATAATTATAATTCTTTTTACTAGATACTATAGTATATAAAGTAAAGAAATTAGTAAATAAATACTTGAAATATTTCAAATATTTACTAGTAATAAGAAAAGAAGCTATAAGATTATTTTTATATTTATTATTATATAAATAAATAATAAAGCTAGAAGAAAATATTATGAAATTAATTAAAAATAATTAGAAAAGACTTAGAAAAAAATAAAAGAAAAGACTAGAAAATAATAATAGAAAAAGTTATTATATATATATAATTATTAAAAAAAAGTATATAGTAATATAAAGAGATTCTTTTATAGAAATAAAGAATTATCTGAATTAATTATTAGTTTTTATATTAGTTCTAATTAGAAATTAGTATAACTAATTAATATATATTCCTAAAAGTCTATAAATAATCTTTAGGACCTTAAAAATATTTTATTAAATTCTTTTTATATAGTTATTTCGATTATTTTAATATAAAATCTAATAAATAATATTAATTTTATAAAATAATACCTTAATATTTTGAATTAAGCTAATTAGAATACTCAAATTCTAAATAAAATCGCAATTACTAACTAGTTCCTATATCTGAAATATAATTACTTTTCTTTTTTACTTATTTAGTCCTAATCTAATTAGACGATTTTTATATCTATTATCTAGATTATATTAGTAAAACTATTTCTTAAAATACTAGAAGTTTATTTTAATTAAATAAATAAATAAATAATTATTTTACTAGAATAGGTTAATAGATCTTAGAAATAAGATTCTAAAAAAGAAATATAATTATAATATATATAGGATTATATATAACTTAAGAATATATAATAAATCTCGGATATTATAGATATTAATTAGAGAAATTAATAGCCCTTTAATATTATAACTAATTACTATTTATATTATATATATTAGGCTTATAAATTACTAATTATATATATATTATCGGAGTTTTCTATTTAGAAAAGGCTTTCCTAAATCTTATAAAAGAAATAGAAATTAGTTTTATATTAAATTTAATACTATAGTTTTATAATTTACTAATTTATTTTATTATCTTATTACTTACTAATAAATATCTTATAAAAAGAAAGATTAATTATAATATAATTAAATACTAATAAATATATATAATAATATAATAATAGAAATAAAATAATAAAATAAGATATAAAGATTAATAATTCTAATATCTTAAGAATCTAAAGCTAAAAGAAAAGAAATAAGATATAATAGTAAATAAGTAGATATAGCTAAGATTACTAAAATATTAAGCTTTAAAACCCGAGCTTAATTTAAATTATAGCTTGGAACCTAAGCTAAAACTAATTTCTTTAACTAAAACTAACTATATAATATTAGCTATTATAAATAACTAGCTCTTTTTTTCTTTTATTACTAGTTATATTTATTATTTAATTTATAAAAATTAATATATATTAAGTTATAAATATATAATAATATATTAAGCTAATATAAAAGAATATAACTAAAATTAATATATTAATAATAAGAATTATAATAAAGTTATTAAAATATTAAAATATATTTAATTTTAAAAAGTTATAAGAATTAAAAAATTAAGTAAATTTTTAATTTATAACTTATATATTATATTTTCTTTTCTTATATTTTTATTATTATTTAAAATATTTATTTTCTTTATAAATATAAAATAAAATAAAGATATAAAATATATAATAATAAAGTATTATAAATAATTAAACTAAAGTAAAATAATAAAATATATAATAAAATATAACTAATTATTATATATATATATATAATTATTTAATTATATTCTAGCTATTTAAATATAACTAGATATATTAATTTTATAATAAATAATATAAAACTAGCTTAATTTAATATATTATACTAATTTTAAGAATTATCTTTTATAAGAAATTAATTAATACTTATTTTTAAAAGTTTATATGCCTTTTTATATATATTTTAGTATTTTACTAAATATATATAAGTACTAGCTCTAATTAGAAAATATAATCTTATATAAGTATTACTTTAATTAAGTTATTAAATTTAATCTTGTATTTATTTATATTTTAAATAAATATATATATTATAAAGGAAATTATATTAAAATTTTATATTATACTTTCTATTATATAATACTAGTTACGTAGTGCCATTACACGTGACTTAGTATATAGCTAGTATTTCTTTAGTTTAATAAATAGCTTTTATATAATATATATAGAGTTTACTTCTTTATAAAGCTATTTTAAACTTGGCTTTATTAAAATAACAAAATATTCTCTGGCTTTTTAGAAGCTCTTATAAGTAAGAACTATTTATTATTAGTAAGTATATATGTTCTTAATAGCTCTTTAATATATTAATAAATTTTAAGGATTGAAATTGTGGTCGAATCTATTTGCTATGAAGGCAATACCATTTCTACTTCTTGCTCTGAGAGCATCTCTCGCTTCTGCATGCAATCACTATCAGTTTTGTCATTGTCTAGATAGCAAAGGAACGCCAGACAATAGCGCTACGACCATTATTTGTGAGGGGGAGAGGCACGGCGCATCACTACAACTCGACAAATATGAATATGGTGAAAGCACCGATTATAAAGAGTGTTCTAATGGTTGTTTCAACAACTGCAGTTGGAGGCGCGATTGCCAGAGTGTAGGGGCAACAGGAAGCGATTCCAGTTGCCGCGGGAAATGTCCTTTCTAAATTATATGGTACCTAGACGATGAGCATTTGGCAGCAAGTCACACTGAATCACATGCTATTTCACAAATTCCCAGGAAGTAATGGGTGTTGCGTTTTGAGGTCCAGTAGTAACCCTGCTGCAGCCAGCGCTGCTCACCTCACCGCCCATAAAAATGCTGTATACTGTGTAATCGGACATGACCGCAGCTCTGGAGATAGGATAAATCATAAATCATACAGGACTCAGACTGTGTGCGGATCGATTCCTGTGTGCCAATTGTCGGGATGCTCAGATGCTGCCAGTAAAACCTCATACAAAAGCTTTTCGCTAAAATGCCTCATGCGTGAAATCAGTGTGGATCGGCTTGCCTGCAAGTTTCGCGAAACATGCTTCTTCCCCAGCCCAGCCCAGCCCACCTCCGCCTCAGGGCGCTCGCCGCTCAGCCTTGCAGCTGCAGAACAAAGCTCTGGTGGCTGGAGATTGGACACCCTGGAAAGAACGAGTGGGCTATGGGTTGCAACTCGGGATCCGCGATTGCGTCGTGTTACCTTGCGGCCCTTGTCCTTTGTCCCAGATATTGAACACCATCTCCGAAGCGTCAACAGATCGTTTGCGCCCCACTTGGGAGCGCATCCAGAGATTCCAGACGGACTCGTCTCATCTCGTCTCGTCTCGTCTCGTCCCGTCTCTCGTCCAAGGTGATCGCGATCGTTGCGCCTTATCCGTACGGAACAGCCATCGCAGCGACAGTGCGCAGCCGGAACACTACAAGTACGGGAGACGCTGCGCGGCCGTTGCGAGGAGCGAGGAGTCAGGAGCGAGGAACTAACCCCGAGACAGCCTGGGTTCTAAACTTCTATCGACTTCTCTTATCGCGCTCAGCGTCATCATTGCTTCCACTGTTGACCCGTCCAAATTTCGGTTCCGCCCCACGACCTCGACCTCGACCACGACCATCTGTGAACTCCATAACCTCACCCAAGTCACCTACCTGCATTTCGAGGTGCGACGTCGCCTCTCCTTCTGACCCCTTCGTTCCATGAAACCCTCCTTCGTTGCCATTGACCTCCCCGCGCCAACCACTGGCTCACTCTCGTGAAGTGAGTTGGAGATAAACCAACACCCAGCAGCTATCGATAGCGGAACGGAGCCCACCACCGCACCACCGCACCACCGCACCAGCCACACTCCTCACCAACCACTTTGATCTGCGGACTGCTGCTCATCAAGATGGCAAGACAGCCAAACCTCTTCGCATTCCCCTCTGTGGATGCGCTTGCCACCACCCTCAGAGCCTACATCATCAGCTGCCAAACAGCCGGCCTCCACCGTCATGACTCCTTCAAGGTAGCAGTGTCCGGCGGCTCGCTGCCGAAGACGCTCGCGCACGCTCTCCTCGTGCCCCCTAGCTCCGCAGAAGACACCGTCAAGTTCGACAAGTGGGAGATATTCTTCGCCGACGAGCGAGCCGTGCCTCTCGACCACGAAGACTCGAATTACGGCCTCCTCAAGACGGAGCTCTTGGACAAGATCCCGGAGGAGATGGGCAAGCCGCTCGTTCACCCTATCGATGTTGCACACTTGGATGATACTCAAGAGCTCGCGGATCAATATGAGCAGCTTCTAGTTAAGAGCTTTGCGCAGAGGGACAGTGTCAAGCTGCCTATCTTCGATTTACTGCTCTTGGGATGTGGACCTGATGGACATACCTGCAGTTTGTTCCCTGGACATGAGCTGCTGAGAGAGACAGCTGCTTGGGTTGCGCCGATTGAGGACTCGCCGAAGCCGCCCCCAAAGAGAATTACGCTCACGCTCCCGGTTGTTACACACGGAGTCAAGATCGCATTTGTAGCTACAGGCAGTGGAAAGAAGGAGATTTTGAAGAAGATCTTTGAGGAAGGCGCTGGTTTACCCTGTGCTTTGGTCAATGAGGGTGCTGGCGAGAGATGCAGCTGGTTCACTGATACCGCTGCTGTGGAAGAAGTGAGCTTTCCTCGGAGAGGCAGCCTTTGATTTCTAGATTAGACTATTTGGGAGGATGTTCATTGACGTTTTGAGGCTATTTTCATCGGAGTTTGCTGCGAGACGGTGTTTAAAAAGGATGCGGTCATTTCAGCGCCATTGCGGGCGGGAATTTGTCGGACAGAAGTCCCAAGATTCATCAGGACAGGACTCGCATATCAGAGATATCTCTTTGAATTTCGGTTTCAGGTCTTTTCCTACATGTGAAGAAATAAACTCCTGAGAATCCTGTGGTTTGAGATCCCCGATTTCTTTGATAATATTCCATTTCTCAAATGCTGCTGCTAGCGTCGGCTTAATGGGAATGGCAGGAGACTAACGAGGAATGATGTTGGACTTGGCATAGTAGAATAATAGGAGGCTTGAAACTCATATTTAAGCCGAAGGGTGCCCTGAAACTAGCGAGTTTGGTTCAAACCATCCAGATCCGTATCTACAAGTTTATCCATCATCATGAATCATCCCAGAGGTCAGGTTTCCCTTTCCGTCCCTTATGTGCAAAATAGCACCCATCAGACACGAGTAACGCCATCCCAATACCATCCCTTCTATTGCCCTGGAGCCAGCTCTTTTTCTAATTTCCCAATTCGTCCCAGACAAACTCTTAAATCCTTCCCTGGTATCGAAGATAGCATCTGCATACAAGACCCACAAGCACTTAGACAACACCACGTGCACTTCCACCTCATCTCCGCATCCTTTTTCTGGCAGATCATGCACGCTATCGGGCACAACGTATTCCTCGAGCTCTTCATAAACTTGTGTGACTGGTAGCAGTCGAAATGTAGAGTACTCAGTGGCAGCCCCGGCATGACAGTCCCTTTCCCAGCACACGCCGGTAATGTAGGGAAATTTATGCCAAGCCCCGCTGGGGGAGATAGGGGAGAAGGTGGAGAGAGTGGTGAAGCTTTGTCTGGTGATGGCTGTGGAGTGAGGATTTTCGCTGCGAAAGCTTTCTTCGGTTGCGGTGATCTCATGACAGGAGGTTCGGAGGTGATTGTGAGGGTCTCACTGGGTTCTCGAGAGTGTGTAGAGAGAAGGTTCGGTCGGTTCGTAGATTCCAGGAGGACGGACGCGACATTTGGTCTTGCGTCTGATTTCAGAGGGACTTCGGGGGCTTGTTCTCCGGGAGGAGTGACTGGCGATACTGGAGACACGACCTGCGGTGTCAAAGGCTGTGTATTGTCCGTCTTTAGATATTCTGGAGTCGGCAGCCGCTTGAAGGAAGTGTATGGATTCGGGGCTTCATCGCTGCTGGTCTCTTCGGATGACCCTCCCAGATTCTTGTTCTTCAGCTTTGCCAGCTTGTTTCCCATCAAGTCTGGTTGCGGCGGTGCAGGACGAGCAGGAATTGGCTTTCGACCGGCAAGGCTTCGTGGTATTTGAGCTCGTGCTGGTTGCTCCTGCCTTCTTGGTGGGCTCGCGGTAGATCCGTTGCTCCTGTCCAACTTTAACTCCGGAAAACTGAGGCTCTTTTCACTCCTCACAGATCGACGTTTCCAAATTTCGGGTCGTGATGGCGAGGAGCGTAGGCTTGATATAGGACTAGACAGAATGGTGGGGCTCGATGGCATGGTGTGACTTCTTTGATTGCCTTTTGAAGGTAAAGGTGGTGTTGAGTCAACACCAGTCAGTGAATCGAGTGTGTTGTGACTACTGCCATTTGACAAACTCCTCGACAGCCCTGGACTGTCAGAGTAGACTGAAGAGACACTCGCTATCGAAGGAGCTTTCGCATGGCTGGATTGGGATCCAACGGGCCGACGAGGTATCGATATGGGCTTCTTGGCCTCCCCCTCTGGCAGTGGAGGAAGAGCTGACTGTAACAATGATGGACCCGTCTTCTTTTCCATGCTCAGTGATTTCTCTTCAGGGCGTTGTGGCAACATCTTCGAGAATCTTGACCGGCCTCTGCCAGGCGTACTTTGGAAAATCGACGATGTCTCCATGGTGGACCGGCGGAAGGACTCTTAAGAGATACTTTGCGGTCCCTGCAGAGTGCTTTGGAATTCTCTATGGACTCGGTGGTCGCCAGGGCCAGAGCAATTGCAGACCATTTTAGAGGTTTAAAAGAAAATGTGAGTTGGGGTCCCACGTCTTACTGAAACAGCTGAGGCTTTGGGCCAGCCCGCACATCAAATCACAGCCTTCCGACACCTGGCACCCTGTCGAAAGATATTCATGCATCTGAAGTCTGCGAGCTAATTTGTTCGCTCTGCTCTTGCTAACCCGGCACCAGTTACGCACAGAGTGGTTTTGCAGGCACGTAAGAAAACAAAATTACAAAAGGGGAAAGTAATACACGCCGTGAACCAACAATCGCAAGGCCTGCCTGAACGCGACGTGGACTCGCCGGCAGTCGTACCAGAGCAGCCAAGCGCCGTATGAGCTCGTAAAAGATGGAGATGCGATCGATGTCCAAGACTCCAAGTCAGGAGGTATGAGCAGTGACGAAACTGACGGTTGCTTGATGCATCTCCATCGTCCAAACGTGTGGATCTTCACAGGGGCCACGTTTTTGGGAGGCGCGGAAGGATTCCTTCTGTGGCAGGGTGAATCATGCATCCCAAAAATAAGTTGTAGAATGCTGGTGTATATCATATCAATCGATTTATGCCATAGAAAAGGGTCTTTTCTGGGTGAAAATATCGGGTGTCGTTTGGCTGGCTTCGCAACTCAACACTTACCCCCTGAACACGTGGAGACCTGGAGACGCGGAATCGGCAGAAAGGGCCTGTGCTCAACTGACCTCGATTGTCAACAAAACAACTTCACTACTTAACATGTCAGCTCTTCCGTCGAGGACGCGATCTCTTCGCAAACCGGCAGAGGTCGGGAGCAGATACGAACGGACTGCCCTTGAACTTAATGAAAGCAATAAAGTCTCGCGGGCAGAGAGGACAGGCCAATCGCCAAGTCGACTGCCCAAACCTCCAACGCGAAGCACCACCATCTCGCGACCCCCAAGTTCTACTGGCAGTGTGATCAGCAATGCCTCGATGCGCCCTCCTCCTCCTCCTCGAGCAAACATAAGCAAGCCTACGACCGGTGGTTTACAAAGGTCGACTTCAGGTCGCCGTCCAAATCCCGTTCCTCCAACAGATTCAGAACCAGTGAAGAAAGATCGGTCAAGACCTCCGCTCACACAGTCTCGCCATCTCCGCAATGTGTCTGCCAGTACCCTTTCAGCTAGTACGAAAGGCCCCGGACATTCACGTACAAAGTCTTCCTCCACACTCTTGACCTCCTCCACTGCTCTCCGACCTCCAACAAGAAATGGCGCGGACGAAGCCCAACCATCAGAGCCACAATTGAGAAGACCTACTTTCTCTACTCTCCAACAACATTTCTCCCCCGCAAAAAGTCTCGCCCCGAAGCCTCATCCGGCTGCGTTCCTCGTACCTCCGTCTCCGAGCAAGTTACCCTCAAATATCGCAATCTCTGCAGAGACAGCAAAACTACAGAACGAGCTTTTGCAATTGCACTTACTACATAAGGATGCCGCCCAGATAGATAGAGAGTGGAGAGCCAGTGCAAAGAGGAAACTGGGAGCGAGATTCCAATCAGTGGTTGACAGGAATGAACTCTTAGTGCAATTAGAAATCGAGGAAACAGGCAAAATCAATGCAGCAGCGCTGAAGAGATGGAAAGACCTTGGGACGCCGGGGTGGGGCCTCGAGGAGAAGATACAGGTACTCGACGAGGTGACCAGTGGTGTGTGGATTTTAGGGGATTCCAGCGGGAAATATGGGAGAGTCGTGAGGAGATTTGAGAGGTGGCTTACTGGGTGTCGGGAGATATTGGAGGCAAGGGCCCACAATGAAGGGTTGGAAGATGACGAGGTGGTGTTCCTGGAGGGACTTGATGCTGGGTGGAAGGATGACTGTCTGGTTTTGGCTCGGAAATTGGAGTCATGGAGGGATCATCTCAAAAACCTGGGCACGCTTGACTCCGGCTCAAGCTTGGCGGTTGTGGTCGATGGGTGTCGGAGTTTGGTGAGCGGAATGCTGACGGAGTTGAATGTTATGGCTCAGATTGAGAGAGATGCTATGAGCATGGAAGCGGAATGGATCAAGAGTATGAATGATGATGTACTTGATAATAAGGATACCCCGGTGGCAGGCGCAATATGGAGATCTCTGTAGTTAATTCAAATGTGAGGGAGACTCTTACGAATCTGCACCGAACCTTCTTGAGATTCCGAGTTATATTTTGACATTTGCAGTACGCAGGTCCCTGGTCACCTCGTTCCGAGGATAGTTTCTCCTTAGAAGCAGGTTTCCTTATCCATTCATCACGCTACAAGTGTAGCAACACATTCTGTTCTTGACAAGCGTTCGATTGCAAATCCTTGCCTAGCCCAAAGGTGTTTTTTACTTCATCAATTTCTCAAATCATATTGTAACAACTAAACGCTCACAAGCAAACTCTTAGGAAAGAGAGCAAGGTTGTTCAACAACTAACATTCCTCCATTCGCATCCCTGATTACCCCTCAGAGATCAAACTTCTGTCCCACCAATTTCTCACTCAAGGCCCACAATTTGTCAATATTCTCCTTCTTCTCAGCATGAGCCTTCCCAATCGGACGAACAGCACAATCCTGGAGGAATCCCCCGCCTGATTCTGGCATCATTAGCATCTTCCCGAACGATTTTGGAGGGATAATCATCGTGCCTTCAATGGAAGGGCCAAGAGCTGCAACCAAAGAAGTGGAGCATCCCTCTTGAACAGTCTTCGGGGTTTCCATTGCAACCGGAACCTGCTCGTCACCTTTGTTGTTTCTATTTGCCCACTCAAAAGCGCTGTTCCACATTTCTGGGGTAACATGAGTGGACAAATTTGATTCGAGAATCACTGTGGTTCCGAGTCAGCATTGTGCAATGATAGATCTTCAGCTTGCAGAGACGCCCTACCTCCAGGATGAACAGGGTACGATTGAATCCCCTTGTTCTTCAACTTTTCAGCCAAGACAGCAGATAACAGCACATTTACCGTCTTTGACTGAGCATAAGCACCCCATGTGTGGTAGTCTTTTCCATTCTGTTTCCCATCGGTCGAAGTACGTGGGTGCGTGTTTAGTCTTGGCATACCTGGAAGTTCCAATCCTCGTACCTCACAACATCGTGTTCAAACCCTATGCTCGGGACGTTGATAACTCTCGCACTCTTTCCAGCCCCAAGAATCTCCCCGATGATCAATTTAATGAAGAGAAAGTGGCCGATATGGTTCAAACCAAATTGCATTTCAATGCCATCTTTGGTCGTCTCGAAGGTCGGAATGGCCATCACACCAGCACAGTTGATCAAATAATCGATCTTTTCAACACTGGTATTGATCCCTGAAGCAGCTTCGCGGATTGAAGCTTGGTCTGCGAGGTCAAGCTGGAGGAACGTGACTTTGATGTTGGGGTTCAAGGCTTTGATTTGCTCGATCACGGGACGGATTTTGGATTCATTGCGCCGAGCGAGGATGACTTGAGCGGAATTTCCGTTGGCAAGGGAGAGTGTTGTCTCTGCTCCGATGGACTTCACGCTAGGTCCAGTTGTGAGGACTGCTCATATGGTTTGGAAAGCTCAAAACGAGGAGAGGAAAGGAGGCTACATGTCGTGCCGGTGACACGATCTGCCAAGGCTTCGACGACCTCCCTGCCTGTTGTGCTTCGGCTGAAGGATGGCACATTGGGAGATGAGATGGATGGATATAGAAGTAGAGCTTCTGTTTGACTTGAGAAGTATGACTTGGGGTTTTGTTTATCCGATGTTCACTTATGTGTTCGGGTAAGGGCTTTGCTTGAGAGAAGAAGACTGAGTGTAAGGAGAGAACTATAATCGGCAGGCAGGGTCCCGGTGTCGCTCATCAACTCCCAAACATTGGTAAAAGGGGTTGTAGCTACACTAGAGCAAACGTGTGGCCAGTTCGCGTATGCACAGTCAAATTCTCTAAAGCCTCCGTCATGGCAAGGCTTCCGGGGAAGAATCTTGCTTCACTTACAACGGGCAACATAGGGAGGCTGCCACAAAATCACCAAGACCTGTAAAGGCACATGCAGTGCTAGCGCTAGAACGATTAGCAATATATTTCTTTGGGGAAGGAGGGAGCCGGGTGCAAACCGGAAGGTCGAGACATCCTCCTGGCCAGTGATAATAGGAAGTCCAAGGTACGGACAAAGAGATAGGTTCTTCATCTGTGACCCTTTGGACATATGGCAGGTGACCAGTAATAAGTTGTAGTGAAGATGATTGTCGCTGCACCCTCGGGGTAACAGTTGAGAGCCGGTGTCTCATGTGACCCGAAATGGCCAACAAAGAGCGACTAGCTGGTGCTAAAGGGAGGGCCTGCAGAGGTAGCCACACGGAGACAGCTTGCAGGCGGAGTATAGATGGTGGTCAAAAGACCTACGAGTAGGTTCTGTGCCATCGCTGTGAAGTTGCAGACAGAGCCTTGGAGATTCAACGAACTTAAACATTTCCGCTTTTGCACCACTTTCCATCGCAGAATTCGAGTATTGCATTGTATGTCCACGTCATATCAGGTCATGTGATTCGATCCCTCCCAGGCCTGGATTGGCGAATCAGCACAATTTCTCGCCCAATCATGGACAGGCAACATGCAACGCGATTGAGCCAAGTGAAAGTGATCTCGATGCTCTTCTACTGATCACTAATCGGAAATGAAACGGCAAGGGTACTGAGGCCATTAGCGGGCTAGCGGACAAATCCGAGAAGCGAAAAGTGATTTTCTGATTTTCTGATTTTCTGATTTTCGCGCCCACCCCCCCC